AAATAGCGAGTTCCAACAGTTCCGTGCGGTACAAAGTCGACCGGTGACACAATTTTGGCAATCCTTGGTATAACTAAATCCACAAGTTCTTCATCGTTCAGACAGTTCAGCAGCTCGCTGACCCTTTGCTTCCTTGAATAAGGATTACTCTCGTCTAGAAATTTTTCTGCGCATTGTCTAAATGAAACCCGTTTCCGGGAGGTTGGCAAGCTACCCGGTTTGTGCTCTGGATAAAGACGAAGATGTTCGTTTAAACTCTGTTTGTTTTTGTAAAATTTACCAGTTTTGATATGGGCAATGACGACGAATTACTGACTCAGCGTTAAGCACATTTTCCTTAGCTCGACAGAACATCCAAACAAACAATAAAAAGCCATAATAAAAACAAGTAGCCAGCAAAAGAAACAATACTTAACTACTTTAAATGTTGGATGTCGCCGCATCAAAATGCCCGCAAGAATTGTGCCACCCGCGACAATGGAACTGACTTTGAGAGAGCAACGAAGGCTCCATCAAAACTTCTTTAAAATCAGCACATAAAAAAATAAAATTAAGACAAACACACCATTCCCAAAAACCAATAACAGCTTTACTACGAGTAARATTRACTGTTGATAAAGCCAATGTCCAGTACATAACAAAGAAATAAACAAGCTAACTTCATACAACGCAGGAGTACATCGAGCTTACGTTTGGATTGTCTGCAACGCTCGTCGCCAAAAGTTGTCAAAGCATTTAACAAAGCAGAGTTTCTCTTCTTGGCAATAACTGCATTGTACAAGCTACCCAGTGACAAGTCTTCTCACTCGCTGATGGCGAAGTATTTTTAAAACATCGAGCTCACATCACGCCGACCAGCCGCCATGATTCGAAAACAGATTGAATTGGTGCGCGCATTTGTTTATGGGATACGGCATTAAAATTTCTTTCCCCAGGCCTCCGCAATGACGTCACAGATCACCTGGAAAGCTTGCAAGCAATGTTACCATTTCAGCTAATTTTTATCAAGAGAGGCTAAATTATAATAAGAAATTTTGGCAACTACTGTAAGTATTCTACTTGCTTTCTCAAAGATTTTTCTTGATGCTGATTTATCATCTGATATTTTTTTGCGTGTGATGTCTGTAGTCACCAACCGTCAAATGTATGATTTCTTATCCAAAATTAACATTTGCTTAAAATGCTCATTTGTAACCTGATATGTATTTTCAATTGCAGTAACTGATCTTAGAGACCTAAAGACAATTTTACCTGAAATTAGACCTACAGGCAAATATTTCGGGATCAATGTTAGAGTTAATGATCCCCGTGTGGAAGGTCCGAGGCAATTACCTTATAATAAGTGCCTAGTCTTCAAGATACTCTGAATTTTTGTGTTTTATAATTTCATTTTTTGTCTTGCCGAAGCTAGATTTGCAATAAAAACTTGGATTAAGGGATACTTTTAACCAGAAAAATTGTTTGACAGGTACATGTAAACCATGTACCATGAAAACGGTCCACAAAATTGAACTAAATTTTGACATGACACAACATTGTCGAAGCATATAATTTTTAAAATTGGATGAAAATTCGGGGTTAAATTACATACAAATCTGACAGTGCTGAATAACTGCTGAAAGATAATATTTTAGTACTATGGGTTAGCTTTTCCAGCCAGATTTATTAGTTTGGCTTGCTAGCATTTGTAAAAAGTGTAATTTTAGGGTTGTGTTGTGCTTTTTACAGGGCAAAATATGTACATGTAAGGCTGTCTCAACAAGAAAATAATATTAAACAACCTCAAAGTTACAGTTTTGAAACAAGTTACTGAAAACCTTCTCCCTGACAGAGTTTGAGGAAAATCAATTTCTTTCTATCCTGCATACAGTTGGTAAAGGTGATTGTTACAGCAAGCTGCTCTTAATATCTGGTTGCAAACACTCGATTTTGGATTCGCTATTTTGAACAATGAGCAGATATTTAGTAATTAGTACATTAAAACAATGATACATGTAAATTGAAATCACAACAAGGTAAAACTATTTGACTTTGTTCTAAGTAGAGCCCTCCTCTCTCAACAAGATTTCAAAGATTTCCATGAAACTTAAGGGGACAATGTAATGAATTGTGCATGTGGTAAGCTTGGTTTACAACTTAAAAAGTTTAGGCTAAATTTTTCAAGTTTGTTTGACAAATTCAAAATGGTGATGAGTAATGGAACAAGTGAAAACTAGCTGCGGTGTGAACAAGAGGCAACTGCAATTAGGAAAAGGTATTTGATGAATATGTGAAGGAAGGGTAAGCCTTCATAAGCTTTGTGTCCAGCTGTCAGTCTTGAAAGCATTGTGAAGGAAAACTTGGATCAGTCTCTTACTGCTGATATGTAACCCCTGTCCAAATTGGTAAATAAGTTTGGAGCGGGTAGGTTGGGCTTGCTTTTTAGTGTTTCTTAGGAATTCCCCTTTTGCAAGAATATCTGACAAAATACATTGTACTTTCACGGGTCATGTAGCCTGCAGAACAGGTGGATTCGTGGGGCAGGGAGCAAAACACGATACACAAGCACAGAGCGCGCCCATGATCGCGAAGTGCGAGACAAAAAAAATCCGCCCGTTGTCACACCATTGTTTATGCTCTTCGAACTGTTCGCCTGGCAAACGGTTTTTGCTGATTGGTTGCTTCAAGCCATGTGAAGTCAGATGCGAGAAAAAACAAAATGTGTTAAATTGGGTGACAGGCCTTCACAGACTCCTACGGCTCGTCACATTTCTACTTTGCATTCTGTTATTAATTCCAGCCTCTTGACCTTTTATTTTGTTCCTCATTTGTTTCTGAAGGGTACTTGTTATCACAAGGACTTTTTTAAAAGTTGAGTAGAACCGTTGGAGTGTTAGAGGTCAGAACTCTGCACGGTTTCAGCTGTTATCTATTGTTTTGTAGAGTTTGACACCTCTGTAATTTGCCATGTGCCGAGTGATAAAGTGTGGTTTGTCTTGCTTCATTTCTACTGCGGAAATGTATGTTGTGTCTCTTTTAATTATTCTCTCTGGAGGGACAAGTCAGTTGTAATGTTGATCGTCTCCTGAGCTACATGTTTAGGTTTATACCTCCTTTGTTCATTCTGGCACCACATTATTTAAATTTAGCTAAATTTAGATGCTCACATCTGTTGACTGTTTTGTGTCATGTATACATTTGTAAACTGGTTACTTGAGACATTTTTTTTTGGGCCAATAAATTCTCATTCTTTCATGCCAATCATTTCAAGGGTGCGGTAGAGCATAAACAATGGTGTGACTACAGGCAGATTTTTTTTGCCACACGCTTCATGCTCATGGTCGCGCTCCGCACTCGTGTATCACATTTCGCTCTCTGCCCTGCTAATCTGCCTGTTCTGCAGGCTACGGGTCATGTAGGTAAGTTTCAGATTAGAGAAGGAGAGAGCAAGTTTCAAAGGGTGAATTTGGGTATAATATTTTGGTATCTGGAAGTTAGAGAGGGCCTTTCAAATCAGTTGTAAAGAAAAAGTAAAATTTTTTTAGAGAAGGGGGCAGTTGAATAATTACTGAATTCCTAAGCATTGTGGAATTTCCAAAGCCAAGAAGGGGGTTTAGATGGAGATGTAAGGGCATGGATATTTTCTGGAATCTGCACCCATTGCATGTATCTTCATCTTCTTAAGAATCTGCATTCATTGAGCTTTCAAATGGTATATTGAACACAGAATTCTGTAACACCACTCAAGATTTCACACATGCACAGTCTATGATACTGTCCCTTAATAATAAATCAGGGGTTTCATTAGGTGCTGGGCAGCAGGCAAATTGACCAGCTGTGAGAGTGATTTGTTTCAATTTTTTCAAAATTCTATCTACATTGCGGATGTTTATAAAAGAACAGTGGTTCAGAAGTGCAATTGTGATATTAATATCTGTTACTTCAGTTAAGACGTCACTCAATTTAGACCAGTCATGAAATTTGACCCTACCCCATTAATACGGTCAACCTATTAATACGGCCAAATTTTCATGGCCCGTTGGTGACCATATTAATGGGGTTCCACCGTAGGTTGCTGGTATCCATTTATAATCCTTGGTGAAGGAAGTTACTGTTTGAGTAAAGTGCGGTGTTCAAGATCATAACTCAAGGACTTTGGGAAGGCTCCTTAATCTGGGGACCATTTCACCTGGTGATATGCCACTACACCATAAACATTTGATGTACAGTATCTAAATTTTTCTATTCCTTCTTTTGAACAGCTGAAGACAAAATACCTGAGGACAAGACAGGAGGAGGATATTAGCCACAATTTTATTCTAGAATGATGTTTTTTTTTTGTTTTTTTTGTTCTTTTTTGCAATCCAGGACCAGGTAAACACTTGTGCTCTTATGCAATGATCAAATCAAAACTTAACCTGGTTCCTTCAGGGGAATCCCCCAAAGGGCATCCCTTCAAGGTACGCAAGTCATCAAATTCTACAGCAGGAAAACAATTAAAATGTACCACTTTTTTTTCTTTTTTTAATTAATGCACTATTATTATAGGATCCAAAATAGTCAGGGAAATTTTTGTTTTTCAAAATCAGGAAAAGTTCAGGGAATAAATTAAAAAATGGGAAGGTTCCCTTTTGTACTGTTCCTTTGAAAAAAAACAATAACTAGACCAAACTACTGAACTCCATTCGAATTAAAACCTATAGTACAACACACTTTCAATGCTAATTACAATGTAAGAACAGACACTACTCAACTTATACCAACAACTACTCACCCCTACAGAAGTCACTATGGTAATTCTTGACCTCAACAGAACTCACATGATGTCCTTCAACCAGCCTCAACACAAACTTCACCAAAAGTAAACCAGTTGAATCAAACCAGAACTGATCAGTCACTACTAATAATATGCACCTTTTCATAGCGGCATCAGTGCTTTCACGCTAGACAGACTACATAATGATACTTGTGCACTTTTTTTTGTGGTTGGCAACTTGACAGTTGTTCCTTTGTGCACCTCAGAATGAGACGTACTGTTATGACTTCCTCAATCCCCCCACCCCCCCTCCCTGTCACTCCCCAACCTTGTCATGATTCACTGTTATTTCCCAGGGTTCCCCAGGTTAAGGGTTAGTTTTGATTTGATCATTGCATTCCTTGATGTAAACCACGTTCTGCTTTTAATTTTGAAATACCGCAGACATGTAAATGATTTAAAATGTTTTCATTGACTCAGTAAATAAATTAGTTTTAAAGTGGATAACATTTCATTTGATTATATTTTATGTTTTTACTGTATTTCCTCCTTGAAACCCCTGTTGGACTTCCTGATTTTTGCCCATACATGTATGTGAGAAGGGGAAGCTCATTGGAAGAAGGGCATAATAGTAAATCAAATATCAAAACTGCAATTTGTAGGTTGAACAGGAGATTTGGAAAGACTTCCTTATTAGAATGGAGACTTGATATAATCAATACTGGCAATTCAAAGTTCTGGGATTGTACAAAACAATCAGATGATCTGTATAAATTTATTGTTGACACCACCAGGAAATTCTGTCCTTTTTGACCTCAAATGGAAGGGCTTAGAAATTTAAGGCTGAAAGATTGCTGAGCTGCTGTTTCACTGCTACTCTGTAATATGATCACCCACCATATAGATCAAAACAGGAAAAAGAAAGAGATTGGGGCTAATTATAAGGGATACTGGATAGAAGGAGTTGAAAGGAAATTCTGACTAAAATTCATCATTTAACACCCCCTCCCCCTTCCTTCTCCCCTTCCAAAAAAATGCAAGCAAACTGCAAGTTATCATCGTTGTTAAAAATTGTACTGGACCAGGGGTTGGGTTGGTGTCGTTATACAAATAGGCCTAAAGATTGGTGGAAGAGATTGTTCTGTAATATTGTAAGAAATACGCATACGTGTACCCCTGATTGGTTTCACATTCTAGACAACTCCCTGCCATTTAGATCATAGGAATAAAAAAATAGATTGGCATAGAAGTAATAAGGGGGAGGGGAGAAGCATACTACAACATGGCAATCTTGCCAGTTCATAGGTACGTGTAACAAAGTACACCTGGGGGTATCTACATTGTATGCTTTCTTGCCTTCAGAAAAAAACTACAAAACTTTGATTTCTTATAGTTGAAGGGCTGCAGATAAACTTTAAGGCAGGTTGTCAAGAAAAAATTCCATGGATGGGTCAATAAATCTTTGACAGAGAGATGGAGAAAATATTATTATTTTGGGGGGGGGGGGGG